CGGAGGGGGGGTGCAGGAGGCGGTGACGCCAAGCGTAGGCGACGCGCACGCGCAGTGCCCTTGGGGCTTCCCTCCTTTCCTCTCCCACGCCTCCGGCCGAGTCCTCCACGTTCCCGGCACCCCTCGGTGGCCCATGACGCCAAAGGGGCGGGGAAATCGGGACTGGCGAGCCGGCCTGCTGAGGAGAAGCCTCGAAGCGGGCAAGGGAGGGAGGCGGTGCTTTACCCCGCTGTGGCCACTGAGACAGAAGCGTCCGGGACGGCGAGCATGGCCGAGGGGGTGAGCGAGGGCACGCCGACCTCGAGGGAAAGGGCCCTTAGCGCCTCTGCGGGTCCCTCCGACGGTGACGGGGGGAAGGGCCATCGGCTCCCCCCGCCCTCGGCGCCTCTGAGGGGCAGGCAGAGGAGAAAAGCCCCTCGGCCGAGGGAGAACGTCGTTTAGGCGGCCCTGGGCTGTGTGGCTGGCATGGAATTGCGAAGGGTCGTGTGTGCGCATAGACGCGTGTCAACAAGCGGGATCCGGGTCGGGGACCCCCTGCTCGGGTCTCTCCGCGTGTGCTCACCCAGCTTCTGGGTCAGCGTGTCGCATGGACGCGGCTACCGGGGGGGAAGCCCCCCCGCGCCCCAATTGGGAGGAAGCCAGAAATAGGGCTGATGGTGGTTAGTCTCCGGCCGCCGCCGGAGGAAGAGGAAGGGCCTTCGTCATCGTTCTTGCCTAAGTTGTTTACTCCGGAGTCGATTCGCATAGAGGGGAGGCAGTCATTTAGGGCTTGTAGGCTGCTCGGGGCTAAGAGGCTGATGCTGGGTTGCTGGAACGGGGTCTTCCCCTGGGGGGTCCTCAGGATTGCCTAAGCTGTGGTGGTCCTCAGCAGGCGCGAGATGTCGTTGTAGCCCTATTTAAAAATAAAGGGTGGGGGGTCTGAAGCGTCACTGGAAGCAGTTCCTGGGATTTGGTCTGGAGGTGAGTCTGTAGTTGTTGATGTGCTGTGTTTTGACCCACGTTCCATCCTTTCCTGAGCATCACTGTTGTTTCCTCTTTGGTTCTTGGCTCCGTAGACCCATGTCTCAGATTTGTATGAAATAGGGTGTGCTGGCTTACGGTCCCAAGATGGGGAGATGAGCAAGTGGTTTTACACAAATGACGAGGAGGAGAGAAGAATCCAGGTTGATATGCAACTTCAGTGAAGCAGATGATTTCCAACAACAGTAGAATGATTCATAAACAAGGAATCAAAACTAGTCCTTGTGTAACTTCCTGACTTTTGTTGGTCTTCAGCAGGAAAAAGTTTCTGAACTGTTTGTGAATGTTAAAGATTAATGGAAGTGAATGATGTGACCCCATAACATCTCTAGAATGTACTTGATTAGACAAGAACGAAAACTAATTTCACATTATTCTCAATCCTTCTTTTTGTCACTCTCTTTTTATATTAAAAGTTAAAAAGAAGCTTTGGAACTATGTCCTTTCTGTACTCTGAATAAGCTTGTTGGGATAGAAAACAAGGTAGTGTTGCTGCTGGGGGAGATTAAACAATAATACAGTTTCTGTGTTAAAGGCTACACATAAAGTCATTTATCCTGTGTACGATAATAAAATGAACAGAAGGAAGTTACTTTTAAGTAAATAAGCCAGGAACTGAGCCAGCAGAGGCTATTAATTCTGATTTCCACATGCATTCAGATGTCCTGTACAAATTACATCTTATATATCTTTTTAATTCATTAAAATAATCTTGTTATAGGTTTACAGTTGCTACTATAGGGTTTTTTTAAATACATTTTATAAGCTGCCTATTCAGAATGCCTCAAGGCAAATCAAATTAATATGTCACTGAATCTTCACAAACCATGATAGTTTACAACACACTAAAATATAATAAAACATCTAGAGAATAATAAAACATTAAAGCACAATAATATAACAATAACTATAGTGAGTGGAAACCTGCAAAATCTAAGTACCTGTTATGAAACAGAAGGAAGCAGCTGAATATATTGAGTTATCTCACTGTTTTTAATGAAGATTTTAAACTTTTTTTGTACACTGCTCTCTTACAGGAGGAAGGTATAAAATAAAATAGTAATAATTACAGATGGATACAGATGATTATTCAAAAACATATAGATAATCTAGACTTCCAGTGAGATGGCAATGTGAGCTGCATGCTTATGAACACCATCTGATAACTTTAAATTTTTATAGATTATCTGCCCTTTAATTATTATGCAATACAATAAGGTTCCATGTATTCTTTGGCTAACGTGTATGTGTTTACAGATACTTGGTTCTGTTCTGTTTCATTAAACACCTAGCAGATATTTCTATCTAGATTTTCCAAATGTAAAGACTTAACAAATAGCCTAACATTGGTGTGTTGTCTTTGGCATTAGTAAAGGCCACCTAGGTAGATTTCAGTCATAGATCTCTGAATCTAAAGTGTAGATTTAGATTTGGGCCTCTTGGGTATGGCAAGGCAAGATAAATGCTCTGTGGTGTACCTGTCTTTCACTGAGTATTTAAGAAGCAACTCCATAATGCTTTCAATCTGGGTGCTTTCAGAGATTTCTCTTGCTTCTGAATAACAAGTTTTTGGTTTTTTAAGTCATGAAGATGACAGAGAGAGAAGGCGAATGTTGATGCTTCTCTTTAGTGTGATTCAAACTCTCATGGTCTGCTTCCCTACTGTATAGCTCCAGTGTGATTTTGGCTGCCCACAAGCATCTTCTTCACCCCTGTCTTTGGCCAATTCTCCAAAAAATGGTTCTGTTCCGTGGTGGGACTTGAAACCTTTTTTGACAGGCATACTGTCAAAATAATGTCCTCCTCTGTGTTGCATTAATAAAAAGGTAGCTGCCAGAAGTGTAAAGGGGTTTGAATAATGGCCCACAGGACTGCCTGGGGCTTAGAAGTAGTAGGCTTAGCGAGAGAGTGGGTGCAGCATGACATCAGTTTGTGTGGTGTGGCAGATGTGCTCCCTTTCAGTTCATTGGTGGCTTCCATGTGTAGGCAGCGTGTAGAAATTACTTCCAACATAGTCACTGACTGGCAGGCCCTGGCAAAGTTTCCAGGGATGCTGGAGGCATATTTGTTCTCATTCATTCATTCATTCGTTCATTCATTTATTTATAGTATTTCCGGGGGGGGGGGAGGATCTTCTTTTTGTCGGTTGAGCTCATATTCAGTGCTGTAAAGGTGATTTAGCTCTGCTTCTGGCATAATGTAGATTTATGGATAAAAGTCTGACTTCCTTAAAATAGGTTGGATGAGAAAAACACAAATTGCCAATATCCAAAGTGACTCATTTCAAGAGATTGGTTCGCTTTAATTATTAGCTTTTCCTGGAATTCTTTATTCAGTACCAGAGACTTTTTTTCAATGATCTTGTTGTGTTCTTGCAGGCTGGCAGGCTTCCAGAGCAGACTCAGTGGTGTTTCTTTTGTGCTTGAGTGAGGCAGTGCATCTAAATTATCAGCAGCACCTAAAGAATTGAGTCCTAATAATTAGATATGCCATGCAAAGTAATTGTAGACTTTACTTTTCCCTCCCAAAATGAGAAAAAGTGGCCCAAGCTCAGAGGTATACAGATGTTCAGTTCCAGTTGTCGATATGCAGCATCCAAAATTCCAACATTGCTGAGGATGTGCTCCTGGGATTTTGTTTCTGCATATTAACCTACAAATGATATATGTGGAACAGAAGCAGTTATATTTGCTGTTTCCCCCCTCTATTTACAGGCTTATCACAATGCTTTCAGATTCTTAAATCGCTGTGAACAAGAAGTCTTTGGAGACTGAGCTATCCTAAGTGCAGAAGGACCAGGAAGAAGGACTTAGTGCCAATGCAGCAACAAAAAAGACAACCAGAGTTAGTGGAAGGAAAACTTCCCGTCTTTGTATTTCCTACCGAACTTATATTTTATGCTGATGACCAGGCGACGCACAAGCAGGTGTTGACTCTCTATAACCCCTATGAGTTTGCCTTAAAATTCAAAGGTGGGTCTCCGTATATTTAAGGGTTGCTTGGGGGACCAAATTGTACTGAATTTTTAAATCAGAGAATGCAGGGAAATGGCAGACAGAGTAAAGTATGAATCAGCCTCTTTTTTAAAAAAATAACGTTTAGTGTATGTACTCAAGCCTTTTGATTGACGTTATGGCCTATTACTAACAGTTTTCTTTTATTGCAGTTCTGTGTACAACTCCAAATAAATATGTTGTTGTGGATGCTGCAGGTGCAGTGAAGCCTCAGTGCTGCATTGATATGTATGTAAACATTCCTTCTTGCCTTGCTCCTTAGTGGCTAGCAGTCTCCAGGCCCCTTCCCCACACTTCTTGCCTCTAGCCCCTTGGAATTGAGAAAGTGACAAAGCAATCCCACAGCAACCTTGACACAGTTCATTTAAATCATGTCCACAGCCATGTCCAGCTGTTCTCGGGCAATTGTCAGAGCATTTTAACCCTACCTACTACAGTAGCATAATTAACTCGGAGCCATTGAAATGAGTTGGGTTGTTCTTAGTTTTTGGTGTGGGAGCTAGACATAGCACGAGTGTCAGTGGTAGCTCAGATTGTGCAAATCCTGTGGAATTGTAGTGATCCCCAAGGGTGTCTGAAAGAACTGCTTCCATGAGCAACATCATTAAATAAAAGTGCAGGAGACTTAGGCTGTATTCAACTGTAACATTAAACTATGGTTTGGCATGATGAGGCTGAGCTGCAGTGACCCTTGGGTTCATGTGCTGTCTTTTCTTTCTCTGGTGGAACCCCAAAGAGGCAATTAGAGCTTTCTGCTTCGGTTTTGGATTAACTGGATCCAAAATCAAAGCAGTTGGTATTGAGGCTAGTCTTAATAGTAGCTTGTTGAAGTGATTCATGAAATCCACTTTGAAGATTGCTTGTTCCAACCCTAATTAAAATTAACTGTAGATTTTTGAAGTTTATAAGTCATGTCTAATCTAAAACATGTAATTTCCCTTGTAGCTGTTTCGTGTAGGAGAGTGGGAGAAATCTTAGTCCTAATGGTTACTGTGGCTTGTCCTAATAAATAAGGTTATAGAGCAATCACTTGGGGTCTTGTTGGCAGAAATTGGCTGTTTGCACACTTGTCCAAAACACTTTAGCCTCTATGAACTCTCATTAATAATGGTTGCAGAGCAGATTTCTCTCTCTGGAGAATCTGCCTGTAACAGCCATGAGGTTTGCTTCCGTTGCAGAGTGATTCGCCACCGAGATGTTCGACCTTGCCATTATGGAGTGATTGATAAATTTCGGCTCCAAGTCTCTGAGCAAAGCCAGAGGAAAGCCCTAGGAAGGAAGGAAGTGATTGCTACTCTGCTCCCCACTGCGAAAGAGCAGCAGCAGAAAGAAGAGGAAGAAAAGAGGCTGAAGGAGCATCTTGCTGAAAGTGTGTTTCTGGAGCAGACTTTGTGTCAGCCAGGTAATCCGGTATGCAGAATCTCTACATCAGCCCAAATGAGGTTCCCTCCCCTACGTGGTTTCTGCCGCCCTGTTGAGCAGGAGAACTGGGTCGGCTGGAATTCCATGAATTGCTGTCCAGCACACGTGGAAACTAAAGGCCTAGAGGAGGGCTCTTGTGTGACCTGTCACTTCCATGATGAAAATGTCTTTTATGGAGATCAAATTCCCTGCTAGAATTTTGTGACTCTAGGGAATTGGAGATGGGGCCAGTAGGATGTGCCTATAAGAAGGGCATCGGTGCACATCTAGGTTTTTCTGAACTGGGGCTGCCTCTCCTATTTCTGTGTTCCTTTCTCAGCTCTATTTTGAAATCATGTCTACATACTTCGATGTTGCTTCACATTTCAAAGGAAGGGTTTCATACTAAACCCTAACTGACAATGGTTTACAAAATAAGCCAAGCTGGAAGGGTTTGCAAATGATACTGCATTAGAAAGGGGTGTACAAAGCAAGAGGCTTTAAATTCACCCCTCTCCATCTGCTACAGTAAGCTGAATTTCCCTACAGCCTTGCCAAGCTCAAATTCTGCGTTAGTTAATTTTTGATCCAGGTGATTGAAGCACACAAGCTTTTTGCATGGCAGTTTATGGTCATTACCTCTTTTCATTTTCAAAGTGATTTTCCATTAAAATATGTACATTGTATTAAGAAGATGCTGATATAGATAAGTAGGCCCTATCTTCTGGCCCTTGGGGATCTAGGCCAGACTTCCAGCTTTTCCCTCTCCAGGAAGGGGCAGGAAGAGCTGCAGGGTGAGTTCCTGAGTTGCATAATGTGATGGAACTGCCAAATCCCTGAACAACGTTAGTCCTGCCTTCCTAGTCTGATGCTCTCCAGTTGAGTTAAGACTACAACTTCCAGAATTCATTGGCTGCCTAGAATTTTTGCATATTTTTCCTCCAACCTATCTGGAGGAGGCTAGCAAAATGAAGGTTAAGTAAAGGTTTCATTACGTTTATAGGATTTGCTGTCACAATGTACGGCAATGGGCAGTATCTTAAATAGCTTGGACAGGAGATTGGGTGAAATAGCAGCAGCGGAGGAGGAGGATCAGGATCAGCTCTATGGATCCTCCAGGCTCAAGTGCAGTATGCTATTAAATACTGGTGATCGGAGAGCAACATTTGGTGAGGGCCATCACCTTCTGTCCCACTCACAGGTTTCTTCAAAATAAGAGCCTGAAGCCAAATCCAGCTGAAGGCCCTCTTGGCCAGCGTTGCTAGTCGGTCAGAAAATAACCAGTTGTGTCTCCTAAGCTCATGATCAAAAGAGGAAGGCAGTTGCTTTATCCACCTTTTTTTTTTTACTGTAGTTGGCAGGCATGAAGCTGAATTAGATGACCATGGGTACAATCTAGCAAGACCACAACAGTAGGTGTAGAATGCAGTATATACATAGATTCTTTCCTTGCAGGTTAGAGTAGTGGCTATGGGAATGAAGACACAAGATAGATTAAAAGGAAAAACCCAATAAAAGCTGAAATACTATGTGATTCTGTAATTCTGATCCCCCCCCTTTTTTTCTCTTTTTTCCAGAAAACAGAATTGCCTCATCAGGGCCTAGTTTACTCACAGTCTTTGTGGGAATCCTGTGCATTGCTGCTCTCATGCTTCCCACATTGGGAGAATTGGATTCCCTGGTGCCTCTCTACCTCCATTTGAGCGTGAATCAGAAGTTAGTAGCTGCTTATGTATTAGGTACGCACCTTATGCTTTTATATTTATTATGGGATATCTGCAACATTCCTGATTTGCGCAAGACACTTACATAGGGAAATGTCACGTAAAGAAGCCACGTTACAAAATTGCCAAATAGTGGTGTCTGTTATCCAACAAGCCTAATGTTGAAATATGGGTAAAATGTGGTATATGTCAGATTTCCATAAATATAAATATTGCTGATTACACTCTTTTGCATACACACACAATGTAAAGTTAAGCTACAGACAAGCACTAACATTTCCTTCTTTCTTTCAGGTCTCATCACCATGGTTATCCTAAGAACATGAGTGATACTTTAATTGGATGCGAACATTCTTTTTTTAAAAAGGTGTTATAAATTCACATCATGAATGTGAACTGCCTTTGACTCCCATTTGGCTCATTAAGATGCTATGGAAAAATTGTTCAGTGATTTACAGTACCTTTTTTTAAAGCAATGTTTTAACTATGTTTAGCTGAAACAATTCAAGCATTTGGCTACGCTTCTGTTACAGACAGCTACCTAACGCTCAACGAGTATACCTGTGAAAGGAACCTGGAGCAACTTTTATATTTACGTCTACCGTACAGAATTCTTATTAAAGAAATACTCTGTTTGTTTTAAAATTCATGTTCGCATCTGTGTTTGATCACCGTGAACCCCAGCAGATACGTCTGCAATGTTAATTTGTCTTTTCCCTGTCTGTATTGCCATTAGTGCTAAATGACTGTATGTAGCGCTATCAGTATCAAGATGGCAGAACATTATTCAGAACTGATTACCCGACAGTGAACATTTTATAAAAAGGCAGCGGCGGCAGGCAGTATTGTGTTTACATAGTGAACTAGTTTGTTGATACATCCTTTCCCAGTGCGAGACGCAGGACTGTGCTATCCATTTTGTCCGGCTTAATCGCCTCAGTTCCTTTGCGTTGAGGCTTACCTAGCTAATTTTCAGCAAAGATGATCTTCGTACAGAATCCACTCCATCTTGGGGGTGGGATGCAGACTAACATTCCCTTAACCGGTACTGTCTACTTGATTATGCATCGAAACTAAGACAGTGCCTCTGTCCACAGGCGTGTGAGATACGTGCTTGGTCTCCCTCTTGCAAAAACTGAAACTGACTTTGAGGATGAATGTCTCTCACATTATTTGTCCATGGAAATGCGTTCTTGTCCACTTCAGCCCAGTCTTTTTTGTTCAGTTCGGAAGGAAACCCTGTTTTCTTCTCTGGACGTGGTGGTTCTGTTTCTGGTTCCCCCCCCCCCTCCTCATCTATCCATGTTTCTTAAAGGTCTAATGCACTTTGACTATGTAAGGAATGTTTTGGAAGATTAAACCTTTGCACCCACCCTCCATATTGTGCATTGCTTCTTTGTGTGTTTGAGAAGAACTGTGGCTCTGCAGATAGTGCAGAAAAGGATTACATTAGGGTAGCTGAAGGCACAACAGAAACTGCTGGCAAAATGGTGGGGTGTTCAGTCAGTGAATTCAAGCAATTCACTGCAAGTTACAAGTGGTAACTAGTAAACGTAAACATTTACAATCCTCAGAGGAAAACAGACTGCCCTCTCACCAAACAGTTATAGGTATGCTGTTTCAGTTCGCTCACCATGCTCAGCCATAACATATTTGGGTCTGAACTTAGGGACCTGAACTGAGTCAATTGTAGCTATTCTACAAACTAGTTAAAAAGCAGCGTTTATCATGACATGACTGCAGTAAGTGAAGAAATGCCTGCATGGTCAATTATTTGCCTGCAAGAGCTATTCATCCGACGTTGAAACAGTTTAACTGCTGATAGAGCCAGGCCTGCTAATCTTACCTAGAGCTGGATCTGCCATCTGAAATAGTGACAATTGTTTTGACCAGTAATAAGCATGCCTCGTGGTTTTTGTGAGGGCACCGAAATATCACATGCTTCAGACTAGATTGAAGCTCTGCATGAAGTTCCTTCATGCAAGTTGCCCAAGAGATCATGTTTACCCAGCGATGAAATCATGTAGCCCAGCTATTTTGTCCTGTGGCTTTGTTTACAGTATGGGGGTAGGGGAGGACATTTGCTCAGCAGATCTTTTGCAACTGTTCTGAACAAAATCAAGCGGAGATTTTTCTCGTTTTTCACTTCTTCAGAAGTCCCTTCTCTTGTAAACATTTCCTGGGGACTCAGGTACAAACTACACTACTTGCTAGTTAAACTTGTTCTGGATGGAAACCACTGGCATCTTGCTATACCTTTTCTGTCTCCCAACACAAAGTTGCTCAGCTCAGCAGGGTTAGACTTCTTTAGTTCTTGGATGGGAATGTGTCCCACTCCATTCCCTCTTTACAAGTTGCCTGGACGAGCCCGCTGCCAGCTGCCAGCAGGGAGCAAGCCATACCCTTCAGTTGCACTCCACCTCTTGCTGTTCTTTTCCTGAATGACACCCGGTATGATTAACCATCTATCTGGCTGATTTTTTCTATTACTTGCCCAAGGAGGCATTTGATTGTAAGATACTGCTCCAAACTACAGTAATATCTCCCACAATTTCCCCTTCCAATTTTCTGGGCTTACCTTTTCCAGATAGCCTATTAGGGCTAGCTGAGTTCCCAAGGAGGCGAGATTAGGGTGCCATCTGTGTTACTAGCGCTTTAGAGAGCAGAAGAGGTAAAAGGCACTTCCTGCTTGATCAGAACAGTGATTTCAACCTAAGAAGGGGGCTGTTACAAAATTTAATTGAAGATTTTGGAAGTTCCATTCCGGAATAAAATATTTTGGAATTCTTCCAGATAAAGAATTGAAATTTCATGCTTCCAAAAGAGATTGGACTCATGTGTCTGGGACAACATTGTCTAGAGCTGGGCAACCTTATAAATATGATCGATAGATTCTGTAGCATAAGGAAATGCATATACAGAAATCAGAGCTATAGGATAAAAAGGGGGTGCAGAGGCTGGAATGTTGGAGGAACTTGTTTCTGCCCGCCCCACCAGTTCTAGTAGAGGGGGCATGCTCCAGGCCCCTTCTACTAAACCATGCCATCTTGTTGGACCCAGGAATCATACCTTCTCAGTGGCAGGACCTGCCCTGGGGAACAGCATCTCCCTGTTAGCCTTTCACAAGGGACCAAAGACCTGGCTGTTTCCCCAGGCATTTAGGGCAGGGGGTGAATGAGCTTTGCTGCTGTTGGTGGCGGTAAGTGGGGTCAATGATTTCCATGCAGAGTGTTTGATACAATTGTTTTCATCTTGTAAGCTGCCCAGTCTCACTTGTGTAAGCTGGGCGGCTGCATAAATTATTTAAATAAATAAACTTTCACACACAAGATCAGTGGAGTTCCCAAGCAAGAAAACTGGAGCCTATTTGCTGACCTGCCCTGGAGAAGTGGTCACAGCCATTCAGATTATATTCAGCAAGGCTACATTTACAAGAAATGTTCCATTTGCTCCTAACAAGACATTTCAGGTTTGCCATGAAGGATGGAGGAAAAAAAACAATCAAATTCAAAGAATTCAGAGTGGAGTAAAAATCATACGGCTGTCCATTTCCAGCTTTACAAAATGTAGTGATGTTACCACTAAGAGGAGGAGGGGGGCTTCCCAATAACCATTGATAGTATAGCCAATAAAGCAAGTACCTGATTAGCTAGTTTTTAATCTAATTTTCTGAGAGTAACATCTACATAAACAATCTGATGGGCAAGTAACATTTGGATTGGAGTTGTTGTCCAGAAAAACTAATGCCATCTTGGAAATGTTCTAAGAAATGGCACCTGGGGGGGGATTGACCTTCCTGCTAAGACATTTATTTCAGAGAACCATAGCCCTGGGGGGGGGAGGGTTGTTTTTTACATTCTAAATTTACAATTTGAAGTTGTAAGCTTCTGAAAAATTAGTAAAGTTCTCTCAAATACTAACAGCACAAAATAAGTCTTCTATAATCCGCTTTTTCCAAAAATCGAGCGAGCTGTACAAACCCAGTGCTTAAAAAAAGAACTCCTCAGACTTGAAAGAAGCCAGCCCAGACAATTACCTGCAAAAAATGAACGCCTTTATTATAAGGGGCTTAACCTGCATCTAAAATAGAAAAAAGTATTTATTTGTAGAAAAATATATAATCGGCTAAGCCAGTTCTTTGTGGAGTAGGACCACCTTCATTATCTTCCAGTTCTGTTTTTGATGCCTCCTCTTATGACAGGCTGGTTTTTGCAAGTTTCGACATGAGACCTTTGATTTCTTCCTTCTCACGTTTAGCTGCTTCATTCAGCTGGGCCTAGATGAAGGGGTGGTGAAAGAGAAGGATCTTAATGCTATTTATCCAAGTGGAATTACAGATTATTGGTAAAGGGACAACTCCATGCAAAAAGGTTTAAGGCTAAGCTTAAGGCCTAAATTTTTTGGATAGCGCAGCCTGGCATGGGAAATTCTGCCTCAGAAACCGAAGGCTTAACCATCAGACTCACTGCAGGTTGAGTCAATGGAGTTTTATGTGAATTTCAGAATTAGAAACAGGAATTAGGCCTGGTGATAACACACTCAGCTACAACCTTTGCTTAGTGAACCTACTGTCACCTCGTACATCTTTTTAACCATGTTACAGCAGTTAACAACAATCCAAGAAGGTGGCTATTTTAGTTCCCACACAATATTGCATGCCTGTAATCTGGTTAAAGAGCTCAGAGCTACACATGTTCTCTCCAACCAAGGGTTGGAGCTGAACACGCCATGCAAACACCGTCAAAGACCTCAACCCTATATTCTAAATTTAGAAGTCTCATTTTTTTTAAAGCAAGCATTTATCAAGAGCAAGCCAACAGCCAACCCACAGATATGTAGCATTGCACTGTAGAGATGTTTAAGTCGATGGCTTTTTTACTCAACACGTTGGTCAAGGGTCAGGGTGGTTCTACAGGGATGCCCTTAAGTTTTGCTGAAGAGCAGAATAGGGTGGAACATCGTGCTAAAGGCTCTGAAGAGGTGCAGAACAAGAACTGGATTTGGATATTCCCCAAAGTACCTCCCAATGAGTCACAACATGAACTTGCAGACCTAGGTAGCCCCAAGCTACATCCCTTCCCCTAATGGACGCAAGGATGGAGATAAATACCGTCATCTCTTTTTCTATTATGCTTAAGTTCTCTCCAAACTTCTTGGCTTCTTCCAGCTCGTGTTGGGCTGTAGCTTCCATTTCCGCTTCGAGCGCCTTCAGTTCCCTCCGCCATCGTTCTGATCTCTCCTGACAGGACTTCATTACCGCCTCGGCTTCATTGAAGTAGGAGATGTGTTTGCCTACCACCTCCTGTCTGGCACTGGCAAGAACCTAAAACAGATTTGATTCATCACTCCTCTTGGAGAGAGCCACATAAATGTGTTTATCTAGAACCCATAGCCAGTTCTGAGTCCTAACAAGCCTGGTTTACACAAGCCCTGCTTTAACTATGGTTTGAATAAACTATAGTGAGATGATTGACCCCACACATTATACCAGAACCAAACAAACCACCTAAGGATGCTGTGGGTTGAATGAACACCACCTGAATTTTTTTTTTTCTGTCTACATTACAAGCAAAGGTGGTTACCTTCAGTTTTGGCTTGAGGAGCTCTAAAGTATAACGGAGCCTTTTGATGTCATTGTTAAGTCCCTTTTCAAAGTCCTCGATGTAGAATGACATGGAGCACTTTTCCACGTACTGCTTTGCTTCTTTAGCACTACTTTCCAGTTGTCGAGCCTTGGCTTCTATTTCAAGGAGCTCTTCCTCCAGATTGGATAGATCTTGTGAAATAATCTGTATTGGCATACATATTTGCATATTACAACACATATGATTGCATATGACTAGATACACATTCACCCATGACCACACTAAGATCATTTCTCAACCCTTCTGCTTTGGTGTTACTAGAGCCCATCATGCACCCTTACTCGGGGAAACCTGGGGTGTAGAATGGACAGATCCAAAGAAAAATCAGGAAGAGAACAAAGTAAGAGTTGAAGTGCATGGTGAGGCTCCCCTCGCTGTGCTACCCCACTGCTTGTTATATAAGCTACAGTTGGGTAGGTTCACATAACACACTAAGCCAGAATCAAACAGAACACACGTCTCACCAGCAACCGGATGTTATGTTTCAGATTATGAGGAACCTCATTTAATGATTAGTCCTAGATCCTCCAACTCCTTTCCAGCACAGAGACCTCCAACCCTCCCATTCAGGACAAAATTAAAGGGGGCTCTATCCATCCTCTCCCCCCTTTTGGCACTACCTCCAGGAAGAGATCCAACTTCCGTCTCAGGGCCGGGATGTCAAGCTGCTTGAATTCAGCCCGGTAGCGTTCGGCTTTTTTCAGAGTTTGAATCTCAATCAGCAATTTTAGTTGCTTCAAGTTCTCGTCCAACAGATTTGTGGTGAACTTGGAGATACAGATGTAGTAATCTTTACTCTCCTTGTACCATTCAGAGAAGTAATACTTGTTGGAAGAAATGAAGACACACCAGTGAACACTTGTAACCAATTCACACATCGCACAGAGCCATCGTTCAGGGTCCAGGGAGACACTTCATATTTTCAGGGTAGTTGTGCTTGGAGTGATGATATAAAACACATTTCACAGATTGGGCCTGGTAAGAACTTGGGGAGGGTAGTTTGGCAGGACCTAGCTTTTTTTGAGGGAGGGGGCTATATTAAATCTATCTCGATTGTATTTCAATCTTCACGTTTCCTGGCTAAAAAGGGTTGGAAATCATGCTATTGATTTTCTGCACGCATGTGTCAGAGGGGATAATCCAGAAGTCCAAGCAGCTCTCAGACTGTGGTTGCCTATCCCTGCATTATGGCAAGGTTTCTTTTAACTAAGGTTTGTCAAATAGGCCGCACTTGACTCCATTAGTGCCATGCATTAAGCCATTGTTTGTAAACCACAGGAGAGAGTTTATTTTATCTATTTCAAGGATCTATGTGGTTGCTTAAATCTGACTCTGGGGGAAGGAAGGAAGGAAGGAAGGAAGGAAGGAAGGAAGGAAGGAAG